TATGTAACCATAAACTAAGGTCCTGATCCTTCACAATACAAACTTTCTACAACAAATATATAGCAAAAAAAATTGTCACATATAAATAAAAATTTGGATAAAAATTTCATAGAAAAATCTATGATAAAACAATATAATTCATTGTATTTTTTACACAACTTCTCAAAATATTTAACATCTATTTCAAAACATATCAATTTTTCAGGTATAAATAGAAAATTAAAAAGAAACATGTCAACATCATGTTTATAAGTCTTCTTTTTCTCCAACTAATTAAGTGAACTCTTCAATACCTGAAAAAGATATAAGATACATTCTTTTATCAGAAAACTGTTTACATAACTTTTGTAAGCCTACATCTAACAATGCTTTAAGCATTCATCTGTCAAATTATTTGGAGTGTAGCTATTACCCTTTTAAGCTGAAAATATAAATGTAAATTAAACTGATAGAATACAAACAAAAAGTTAGAATGTCAAATAGTGTTAAAAAAAATTGGTTTCATACACCAACTTATACATGCAAATCAAGTAGTATTGAAAGAAGGAGCATAAAAAGAATTGTTTCAATTACTGGGAAATAAACCATCAGATAGTGATGATTCATATCGCCGACTCAAATTAACTTCAGATAGAGGCATTTTATTGTTGTTTCTATTTTTTATGGTCGATAAAATCTTAGAAATAACTAGGGAGTAGGAAAGCATATTGAAATTTACTTCGAAGAAGAATGGGCCGACTATATGCAGAATAACTTCCCTGAGATACATGGATGACAACTTTTATATCTCAATTTAAAACTAGAGAACTAGCGAGTAATCAATGTATATATCAGAATACTACACAGAAATAAAATATGTCAATAACACTTAGCAGCTACAATTAATAATTATTAAACTAAAAATTATGAAGGAGGTTATTGATGGATGAATTACAAGATAAAGTTGATAAAGACATCATTTTTCCTTGAGGATAATATATTAACATTAGCCTTCATAAATCCAATAAATGTTTGATCGGTACACATGATTTCTTTAATGTGTATGTCACATGAACCTTGAACACCATTCCATTCAAACAGAAGAGGTACTTCAGTCCATTTAACCAAGTGGAAAAAATAAATAAGACCTATTGAGGGAGGCACTAGCACCACTTTATTTTATCTATTTGTTAGCATACAAAGCTATGTTTTTTCTCAATAGGCTGCTTAGATATTGGTCTCTGATCTATAATAGTGTCCTCAAGATGGACAACCATTTCAAGAAAGCTGAAATTCTCGGATTTTCTTAGAGCTTTTGGAGCAAATGAGGAAAGAAACCATGTATAGATTACTACCAAAATGCAGTTACATAGATAGTAAAAATTCATATTTACAGCCATAAATTGATTGAGATTGGAGCGTATATAAAGTGAACAAATCAAACATAACAACCATGTAGAGTAAATCTTAAACCAAAAGTGGAACAACTTGTTACTAAGTTGGTGCATTCCTTAATGTATTGGTCATTCTCCTGCAGGTATAACTACGTCGACAATTAATAATCCAAGTTTTAAAATCCAAGGCACGTAAAATTTCATTACCTATAAATGTAACCACCATATGCATTTAACTACCAGTACAAACCTTTCTAAGTTCATCATACAAAATTACTACGACAATATTCTCCTATGCAGAATTCATAACTGATGAGTCTGAGATTTGAACTCATTTAGGGCATTGTTTTGATAGTTTTAGTGTCCTCGTATGCCTCATTTATGCTACAATTAGATTTTAAAGCATTGATTTTCAAGTATGTGAGCTAAGGAGCAAGGCAAGGACATTACTAGGCAAAAAGGAGCAAATCAAGGTGAAGAAGTGGCGAAAAGCGATCCTGGTGATCGCTAAGCCCACTCGGTTAACCTCCGAGTGGCTTTTTAGCTCGCCTAAAGTTCTAGTATGCCAACCCTGGGGAAGAACCAAATTGGTTACATGAGTGGGCAGTTGGCAAATTGTCGAATGACTCCGCAAAGGCAACCTTCATCGCCCAAAGTTACAGGACTCTCAATGGAGGTGCAAGCAAACTGGTGATCTAAAAGAGCAAAGACGTATCGCCGAATTTATCGGCGACTCCAACATTGACTGCCTAAAGTTACAGTGCATATTAGTTGAATACTCGAAATAGGAAGGCGATGGACTGAGGAGATCACTGAGTCACCGATAAGTTTGCGAAGCCCGACTTTCACTACTGATTCACCCAAAAAACCAACTTTTGAATCAGTATTAATAGATCTTTTGAAGAGAGAGAAGGCCTTAAGAAAAACATTGGAAATATCTTACGTAGAACTAAAAACATTGTTCTTGTTGAATTTTGAAGCTTTCAAGTAGATTTCTCGTATATTTGGATTTGGGCTTTTGAATTTCACCATTTTGGAACGTTGTAAAGGCTTGGAGACTATTACTGAGCTGACGGCTACTCTAGTTGGTAATTAATTTTACCTTTTTATGATGTTTAGCTAAAACTCCAATTCTTGGGATGTGATTATGGGCTGAATTGGCTTATGGGTATTGTTAATTACTTATTTAAATGCTTAATTGAAGTGGGTTTAATCATTAGTTGTGTTTTTAATCTAATAATTGTCATTGTAAATGCAATTATTATTTTTAGTTCTTAGCTTGCTTGAGAGAGAAGTTGTGGAACCAAAGCTTTTGATTAATGGTTTGTAGGTATTGGGTTGATATGGGTTTAGCTCGAGAGAGTGAATTAGACTTAATCCTACCCATGCATCTAGATCGAGAAAGTAGAGAAATTAAGGTGTGGTTTGTTCCTTTTTTCTATGCTTGTTGATGTTAAAAAAAAATCACTTGAAACGTGATAGTTATTCAAGAGAAAACTATTTCACTAATAGTCTAGCCTACCCACTGATATTTATCTATTTATTGGTAGTGTCAATTACCCGTATAGTGAAAATTGCCTATAATCGATCACATCCCGAGAACTTTTCTCTATATTGTTTCTTCTTTGTGCGGTGAAATTTCTTTGTTTACTAAGTGATAAATCCATCCCCCGTCTGACATTCACTGTCACCCCTTTAGATTTGTTTGTATATTTTCGATAATTTTTATTCTTATAACCGCTTAGACCACGTTTGCACTTCATAATTAAATTTGAACATGTACCGCTCCCTGTGGGTTCGACCATAACTCTTAGTTAGGTTTTATATTAGTTAACGATCGTTTACACCTACAATTGGATGAGGTGTACTTGAGACATTAATCAAAATGGCACCGATGTCGAGGAGTGGTGTTGTTTAAAATTCTTTTATTGAAGTTAAATTGTGATCATTTTGTTTTATAGTGGAATCGACTTATTTTATTTTGTGTTTGTGTTGTTTTTGTTGAACAGAGAAAGAGATGAGCATGAACGGATGTAATGGTAGCCAAGTGGGCCACCAAGACGATATTGAGAATCTTAATGATGTGAATACGTCTACCCCCAATTCAAGGGAATATTGTCTTTCATATTTATAGCACAATGCTACAACTCCTCCAAATGAATGGTCTATATGGAGGATTGGCTCACGAAGACTCCTTTGAGAATATCCGGAACTTAGTGGACGTTTGTGGTACATTCTCATTCAAGAACGTATCACAAGAATCAATCTGTCTCAAGTTGTTTCCATTCTCTTTGATGGGTGAAGCAACAAAATGGTTGGACGAGTTATCGAGGGACTCCATCACCTCTTGGGATGAGCTTACCACGGTGTTTAATGTGAGATTCTCTCCCCCGTCAAGGATTATGACACTCTGAGATAGCATCCAAGTTTTCAAGCGCTTGGAAAGTGAATTAATCCATGAGACGTTGCTGAGGTTTAAGAAGGTCGTGCTTCAATGGCCAACTCACAGACTTCCAAACAACGTGCTACTACAATACTTCTATAGGAGTTTTGACTTGTTGAACAAAGGACTGGCTGACCAATTGGCTCGAGGAGGAATAATGTTGCAATCATTTGAGGTAGCCTCATCCCTTTTTGATGAAATGACAAAGATAAATCAAGTGTGGTACACTAAAGAGAACCGAGTTTCCCTTTTTTTGTTTTAGAATGACGCAAGAACATCTTGACAAGGAGTGAGAGAGGGATAAGAATATTAGCAAAATGTTTTCCCAAAAGGAGCTGCTATAAAAACAAGTGCTAGAAAATGTGGGTGAACCCAATGAAGTAAGAAGAGTGTTCATAGTTGAGGAGGGCTCTCACTCGTGCTACTTAAAGCCGTGTGGGAATCAAGGTTGGAAATCACACAAGGAAGAAGAGCACAGGCGATCCTATCAAGAATGGATCGAACAAAATGACCATTGGAGAAGAGAAGATAATAATGAAGAGGACCACACGCAATCGAGTGAAAACCTAAAATCAAAGGGTAGTTCGAGTATCCTACGAGTGGATGATTTATTATCACATCCTAGACAAGATTGAAGGCTCGGATGACATGCTTAAAGAGATGAAAGCTGACTTCTCATCATTGAATAATAGAGTGAATTCTCACACATATGCAATCAATAAACTTGTGGTTCAATTAAGTCAACTTTCAGACCAATTGGAACCCAAGGTATTGATAAGGGTGGATCTTAATGCACAACAACTTTGAGGGCTGATGATGACAAAAATTTTGCGGTGGTGACGCGAATTGTAAAAATAGCAGTTGGTAATGTGAATGGTAATGATGGGGTGAGAGCTCATGAAGAAGGGAAATAAATTGATGAGGAATAGGAGCTCATTCAAGCACCAAAAAATGATATGCTCAAAGAGAAGGAGGAAAGTCATAAGGAAAGACTCGACGAAGAGTTGCGAAAAGCTAAAGAAAAGGCCACGTCAATTCCAAAGATAGTACAACCTCGTCCCAAAATAGTTTCTCCATTTCCTCATTGTCTCTAGAAGAAAAATGAGGATGAGAAACTCAATAAGTTCCTATCAGTGTTCAAAACACTTTCTATAAATCTACTGTTAGTGGAAGCATTGTTGCAGATGTCGGGTTATGCCAAATTCATGAAAGGGATAGTCAGCAAGAAGAGAAGCATGTACTCCAAGACAATCGAAGTTTCTCATAATTGTAGTGCCATTATGACTAGTGAGATGATTACAAAGAAAGAAGATTTTGGGGCATTCACCATTCCATGCACAATTGATATGCTTCAATTTACTAAAGCTCTATGTGATTTGGGGGGAAAGTATAAATCCAATGCCCTATGCAATCTAAAACAACTTGGGATGGGCGAACAAAAATCAACAACAATGCGGTTTTTTATGGCGAATCGGTTGATCAAACACCCCATTGGGATACTCTATGATAAATTGGTGATGGTTGATCGATTCATCTTTCTAGTTGATTTTGTTATTCTTGACTGTGAGATTGATGCTGAAGTTCCCACTCTTTTGGGAAGACCATTTTTTCCAATAGGGATAGATCTAGTGGATGTTAAAAGCGAGGAATTGATGTTTTGCGTGAATGAAGATGAGGTCACCTTTAATATGTGCAAGTCAATGAAACACCCGAGTGATATTTATGTGGTTTTGATGACTGATGTAATTGATGAAGCGATGGATAGTGTGAGCCATTTGATGTGTATGAGTGAACCTGTTGAGGCTACTTTTGTAAATTATGATGAGAACAAAGTTCAAGATTAGGATGAAATGGTAGATGCTCTGTTGGGATTTGGTGAATACTCAAGGAACCCGTTGACGCTAGATATTGATCTAAAGAATCGAGAAACACCTCCCGCCAAACCATGCACAGAGGAGCCACCAATGCTTGAGTTGAAAGTGCTCCCCGCTCATCTTCGATATGCATTCTTGGGGGAAAATAACACCTTGCTCGTAATTATCGCAGCTGATTTGCTTGAGTGGCAAGTAAAATTGCTTCTTGAGTCATTGAGAAGGTACATCAAGGCTACATAGTGGACTATCGCTGACATTGTGGGCATTCCTCCCGACATTTGCACTCACAAGATTCAACTTGATAGTGAGTGTAAGCCGAGTGTCAAACATCAAAGGAAGTGGAACCCACCGATGCAAGAGGTGGTAAAAAAGAAGATAATAAAGTGGTTGGATGCAGGTGTGATTTTCCCTATTACGGATAGAAAATGGGTGAGTCTGGTGTAATGTGTACCAAAAAGGGCAGTATCACGGTAGTCCCAAACGAAAAGGGGGAACTTGTTTCTATGAGATCTGTAACTGGATGGAGAATATGCATGGACTATCATAAGTTAAATTCTTGGACTGAAAAAGATCACTTTCCTATGCCTTTTATGGATCAAATGCTCGATCGGTTTTCGGAGCATGGATGGTATTGCTTCTTGCATGGTTATTACGGGTATAATCAAATCTATATTGCACCGGAAGATCAAGAGAAATCCACTTTCACTTGTCCCTATGGGGCTTTTTCTTTTAAAAGGATACATTTCCAGTTGTGTAACTCCCCGACGACGTTTCAACGTTTCAGGATGTCTGTTTTTGCTGACATGGTGGAAGATTCAATGGAAGTCTTCATGGATGACTTCTCATTTTTGGGTGATACTTTTGAAATATTCTTAGCACACCTTGTGAAGGCTCTTAAAAGATGTGTTGAAACCAATCTAGTCCTAAATTGGGAGAAATGCAACTTCATGGTTAGTGAAGGTATAATTTTGCGTCACAAAGTATCTCAAAAGGGGTTGTTGGTTGACAAGGCAAAGATTGAGGTAATTGAGAAACTTCCACCACCAATCGCAATAACCGATATTCAAAGTTTCTTGTGGCATACCGGGTTCTATCAAAGATTCATCAAAGACTTCTCAAAAATTGCACTGCCATTGGGCAAGCTATTGAAGATGGAGGCGAAATTTGACTTCGATGAAGCATGTATGGCAGCCTTTAAGTGTTTGAAAGAGAAATTAATCCCTACCCCAGTGATCATTAGCCCATATTGGTCGGAACCATTTGAAGTGATGTATTATGCAAGTTGGACTACGTTGGGTGTTGTTTTGGGACAAAAGCGAAATAAACTAGTCCATCCAATCTATTACTCAAGCAAAACATTGAAGATGCTCATCGTAACTACACTGTTACAGAGCAAGAGTTACTTGTCGTGGTATATGCATTTGAGAAATTCCAACCATACTTGCTAGGCACCAAAGTGGTAGTTCGCACTGATTATGGAACACTGTGGTATTTAATGGCAAAGAAAGATGCTAAACCATGGTTGATAAGATAAGTGTTGTTATTGCAAGAATTTGATTTTGAAGTCAAGGATAGAAGAGGTTGGGAAAATCAGGTGGCTGATCACCTATCTAGGTTGGAGGGCAAAGAGAAAGATGAGCTTGAGTTAGACATATATTTTTCATTCCTAGATGAGGAGGTAATCATGGCCACTCCTATGACGACTCCCTGGTATGCCAATTTTGCTAACTATGTGGTATGTGGGCTAATGTCAGAAGACCTGAACTTTTATCAACAAAAGCGGTTCTTGTTCGATGTCAAACGATATTTCTCGGATAAACCATATATATTCAGAGAATGTGCACACCATATTATTCGGCGATGTGTGCCGGAAGAGGAAGTCAATAAAATTCTGAATACTTGTCATGCTTCGCCGGTTGGTGGTCATCATAGCGGTGTGCGAACAACCGCTAAAATTTTTCAAAGTGGTTACTACTGGTCATCCCTCTACAAAGATGGTCATGAATTTTCAGCAAATGCATATAATGCCAAAAACAAAGTGGGGTGTCCAAAAGGCATGAGTTGGCACTTAAGCCTATTCTGGAAGTTGAGTTATTCGATGTATGGGGAATAAATTTCATGGGGCCATTTGTGAGCTCGTTTGGCAGTAAGTACATTTTGGTGTCTGTGGATTATGTTTCTAAATGGGTGGAAGCCGTGACACTACCCAACAATGAAGGGAAGAGTGTTGTTCAATTCTTAAACCGCTACATCTTTACAAGATTCGGTACCCCTCGGGCTATTATTAGTGATAGATGTTCTCATTTTTGCAATCGGCGATTTGCATCTGCATTGAGTAAATACAGAGTGAAACATAAAGTGGCAACACCATATCATCCTCAAACGAGTGGCCACATGGAGGTTTCGAATCAGGAGATTAACAGTATCTTGGTTAAGACCGTGAATGAAAATAGAACTAATTGGTCTCACAAGCTAGATGATGCTCTTTTGGCAAATTGCACTGCTTACAAGACACCAATTGGCATGTCCTTGTTTCAGCTGGTTTTTGGGAAACTTGTCACCTATCGATTGAACCTGAACACAAAGCACTATGGGCATTAAAGGCATTAAATTTGGATTATGTAACTGCTTCGAAAGGGAGAGTAGATCAGTTGAACGAAATGGACGAATTCAGGTTTAGAGCATATGAAAGTTCAGCTCTCTACAAGGATAAAATAAAGAAATGGCATGACTCTAAAATCCTTAGGAAAGAATTTTGAGTTAGAGACTTTGTGTTGATGTACAATTCTAGACTGAGATTCTTCCCGAGAAAGCTCAAGTCGAAGTGGTCCGATCCATTTAAAGTTACACGAGTGTTCACGAATGGCGCTATTGAAGTTGAAGGTAAGGAGGATCCATCTTTCAAGGTTAATGGGCAGCGTTTGAAGCTTTATTTTGGAGAGTGTCATGAGATTTCAGTTATTGAAGTTGTGTATTTGAAATTTGCTTGAGAGCATTTCCATGTCGTGCCATGACGTTTTATAAGGCGCTTGTTGAGAGGAAACCCAAGCATTAGTTGTTTTGAATAATGGATTTTGATTGTGCAGGTGGAAAAATGATAATGTTGGAAAATGGCAATTAGGCGAGCCAACAGTCTAGTCGGCGAGCCCAACTTGGACTGTCGTTACGTTGGAACCACCCATCTTGATGGGTTAAGTTCTGTAAAACTCGGCGAGCTAAAGGCTCAATCGGCGACATGCCGAACAGGTCAGCGAGCTCAACTTTCTACGTCGTTTGAATCCCCCAAATTGCTAAAAGTTCTGTAAAACTCGGCGAGTCAGAATATAACTCAGCGATCCACCGAAGATGTTTGGCGAGCCGACTTTCACCGCCTTTTGGCCTCAGTTGGAGAGCTAGAGTTCTGGATATTTTGGCTAGCTACTGTCATGACCCAGGGGCACCCCCTAGATGTAACAAGGCCTACTCAACCCTGAAAGGTCTCATACAAGCCCCTTAGAATATCATAACATATGATAAAACAAATGATGCAGAAATTTTAAAACTTTATCCATACAATCGAATTCTTTCATAAAAGCAAGTGGAAATCTAGACTTGTCTTATTTAGCCATCTAATACAATCTTTGAATCAAATAGGGACACAACCCTTACAACATAGTCTGAAAATGAAACACTAGAAAGGAACTACAAAATGAAGATATCCGTCCTCGAATCATGAGGAATCACCAACTAGCAAGGAGAATGATCAATTCCAAGCTCTAGCCACGTGGGGAATCAAATTGAGTGCCAATCACTACACTTGGGAAAAAATTCCAAGCTTTTAGTCAGTATAAATTGATCTTTTGAAGAGAGAGAAGGCATTCAGAAAAACATTGGGAAAATCTTACCTAGAACTAAAAACATTGTTTTTGTTGAATTTTGGAGCTTTCAAGTAGATTTCATGTTTATTTGGATTTGGGTTTTTGAATTCCACCATTTTGGAACATTGTAAAGGCATGGAGACTATTACTCAGCTAATGGCTAATCTAGTTGGTGATTGGTTTTACCTTTTTATGATGTTTAGGTAAAATCCCAATTCTTGGGGTGTGATTATGTGATTATGTGATTATGAACTGAATTAGCTTATGGGTATTGTTAATTACTTATTTAAATGCTTAATTGAAGTTGGTTTAATCATTAGCAGTGTTTTAATCAAATAATTGTCATTGTAAATGCAATTCTAATTTTGAGTTCTTAGCTTGATTGAGAGAGAAGTTGTGGGACGAAAGTTTTTGATTAGTGGTTTGTAGGTATTGGGTTGATATGGGTTTAGCTCGAGAGAGTGAATTCTAAACTCAATTGACTTGTAATAACGCCAATTGAAATTTGTATAGGTTTAATTTTTATAGTAGTCTAAATTCATTTGTTTTTTTAACATTTTCTCTTGTGATGTAGACATATGCTTCTTAATATCTTTTTCCAAAATTATTAAACTTCTCAATGCTACTTATATGATTTAGATTGTCCGGAAGTTTGCTTCAAAATAGTTATTACTATATAAAGATTGCCCTTTTGTTCTACTGATTTACTATTTGTTAATATTTCAGTATTTTCAACGAAGAAAAGTTCATATGACTTGTATAAATTCATTTGTTTTTGTTAACAATTTTTGTTGTGATGTAGATATATGTTTTCGAATATATTTTCCCAAAATTATTAAACTTCTCAAGAGTTAGAGAATTGTCACGATTAGTTTTTTTTTATGCTCAAGACAAAATAATGACTTTATTTATCAATTCTCTTTATGTGATTTAGATTGTTAGAGAGTTTGCTTCAAAATAGTTATTACTATGTAAGCATTGCCCCTTAGTTTAACTAATTTACTATTTCTTAATATTTCAGTATTTTCGACGAAGAAAAGTTCATATGACTTCTTGTTAACTTGATAATACATTTGTGACATATATAAATACCTACCCGAATATATATATATA